TAATCTTGTGCGAGGTGGAATGAAGAAAGGCCATCGAACAAGAAATTGAAAAATACGAAAAAATATAACAAACTAAAGAGATTTCATCATTACAAATATGCCGATTTTGACAGAAACTTTGGAGTAAGAGAGACGTTTGTGTTCTGTTGATACCTCATTGCTTGATGTACCGTTAATGATATGAAGATTTGATGATTAAGGTGAAAGATCTCTATCTAGAATAAAAATATTTGATAAAATGGGAATTAAACAGTTTGACTAAAATTAAAATATTTGTCAAACCAGTGATTCTTCCTACGACTCCAAATATTTCAGCATGCACAACCACTGATGAAATAAATTATGATCTGTGCCTAGAATTAAAGGAATTGTTACGAAAGATAGAGTTTCATGTGGGAAAGTTGGTCATGAAACATATTATTGTGAAGGGTTGCGAAATCTGTAAAGGCAATTGCATAAACATACCTGACTTGCTTAGAGATAAGAAAATAATTTTGAAGGAGTTCCGCAGAAAATTGAGACAAGTCTCCCAACTAAGTAGTAACATAGTAACAGCCTGAAGGCTCACTTTACCAAAAATAAAATCCTCATAAAATTCTTCCATCGATTCAAAGAACTCTTTATTGATTGCAAGGCGAAACAGGTTTCTTCAGTTATTCAAGCCATTGTAGGACTGAATAAAAGTAGTACCCTATAACCAAGAGCAAATCTTCCAGGTGGATCACAACCGTTGTGAACAATGGAATCACACAGGAATGTAAGCAGATACTGCCTGAAGTAAAATTAACTTGAGAGAAAAAATATTTGATAGAGTAATTAAATAAAAATATTAGCATTGCGTTTTAGAATAACTTTGTATTAGTGTATTCCAATGATCATTACATGTTTAAAAAGTAATATAAACGGGACAATAATTACCAGAAATGGAATTATTTGTAATTTTATGTGTTTGTTGTTCTGGCAATAAGCCAGAAGTGGGTGGTTTGAAATCTATCAAATTTCTACATACATAATATTAGAAATTAAATTAGCGATTAATAAAGAAACATGGCACTGCATAATTTCTATTTCAGATTCCATTTGTATTAAAAACTTAAACTGTACTTATTCAAACAAGTTGCATTTCAAAGGGCAAAGAATCACAAGTAGCTCACAAGCCACAGTTACGATGTCAGAGCCGCATGTGGCTCAAGCCGCAGTTTGGCCATGTTTGCTATATGTGAAATTCAGGAAAGCCATAAAACTTTTTTTTTTTTAAACTTTGCTTTCCAATCCTCAGCAAAGGAAATATGAGATGCATTGAAAATATATTAATGATAAATACACGCTATGGGAGGGGAAAAATCATTATTTCATTAGGTTATAAAAAATATCTGTTTCTTTTTATTTTAGAGAACAATAACAATTAAAATTTTAAAAACGTATTATTTTAAATGTGTAGTTTTTTGGCTCAGATAATATTAAAAAATTCTTTTAAAATTTGATTTTGACTTACATTGGAAAATGCTGCTATACACATGGCTGAAGACACACTGTATTAATACTATAGATTAATGTAACTTATTGTGCCTTATTTTAAGAATTATGAATATGGCTGAAGACACACTGTATTAATACTATGGATTAATGTAACTTATTGTGCCTTATTTTAAGAATTATGAATTAATTTCTTATTTTAAGAATTTGATTGTGCATTTAGACTAGTTTGGAGTAACCAAGAGTTCTGGGATCTAGGTGGAAAATACATACGCGTCTTAATGTTAAGTATATGGATGTTTAAACTTTTTTGAACAACACAACAACAAAAAAACTTAATCATATCTGTCTACAGCTTTGTACCAAAAATTCTGTAATGCTTTTTTGGAAACATGTATTCTGAGCATAAAACATATTTTCTAAATCAACTCTTTTTATCATTTTAATATTTGAAAAATTACAGAAGAAAGAATGGCTCATAAAAAAGCACAATTAATCAATTAAATTTTAAAACTGCTTTTTTCAATCCACTAAAACTTTCTCTGACATCTGAGTTCTGCCTGTAAAAAAATCAAAATTGTTTACTTTAAATTCTGCTTATAAAATAATGATTATTGCTGGCCAGTTTCTTCTATGTTAGCTTAAAAAATTTTTATTTGCAAACAAATAACGCATATGAAAATTAATGCACTGCATTATGTGATGGATTATCTCTTGCCATTAGGTGGCCATTTCTGTGGAATCTGGCTTTCATCATTTGACAGTTAGTACATGTATTAATAACTTCAGCTTAACTAGAAATTTGGAAGATTGGTATAAGAAGGGAAGACCAAAGAAAAGTATGATATAAAATGACTGAAATCTTGTTTGCCTGTAAGAGGTAATTTTAGTAGTTATAAAAAAAAAAAAAAAAAAAAAAAAAAAAAAAAAAAAAAAAAAAATGAGGTTTAAATGACAGATAAGCTATTCAATTAGTATTTCTGGGTAGGAAGAATATAAGCCTGTGAAGAAACCTTTCATTAATAAAAAACAGAGGCTGAATTGCCTACAGTGGGCACATGATCATATAGGATATACTGTGGATTAATGGAGTATATCTAGAATGATAAAATAACACTTTCTTTGAGACCCAGTAAAGTAGCCACATTTGAATGAGGCCAATGAAAGAATTAAAAAGTATGGTACAGCAACAATAAAGCATCCTACTGCAGTGATAGTATGGAATTGTATCTCACTGCATGAAGGGGATCGACTTAACATTGTAAAAGAAAAAATTAATGCTTCCCAGTATATTTATGTGCTTGGGGGAGGGGGATGTGTTGTTCAGCTAAACTTCCTTCAAACCAATGTTTACAACTTTCATAATGATAATGTACCATGTCATTTAGCAGAAGGAGCACATAGATTTTTTTTTTTTTTTTTTTTCTAAATCAATTCAAAAATTGCGAAGGCCTTTTGAATTATCAGATCTCAAACCATTAGAACATATTTGGATCATACTGAAACAGAACATGAGTTTAAAGAATCTAAGCAATAAAAGTAGGATTAATTGAAGCTCTAATTTCATGCTAATACCATCTAATTACAGTCAATGACTTAAGAAATGTTTGCCCTAGCGATATAGATTAGTAATTAAAATCAATTTTTAAACGAAATATTAATAATCTATGTAACTTGAAACGATTGTAAGATTCATTCATCAATGTAAAATGTTTGACATTTTGTAAATTTAGCTTAGAATTTTTTAACTTAAAAATTGTTTGTAGTTTACAAGGAATATATGAAGAAAGTTTGTATCAGCTGTATAATTTTTTCGATTTTCTCATACATGATATTTACTATAAGGTGTTATTTCAAATTGTAAATTGTTTAATCTAAAATTATCTTTAAATTGATATGTTATTTATTGCTATCAGCATTTGAATTTATTTTTAAAATGTGATTCAATGCTCAAAATGTATGCTTTTTATGAAGTGTTACAAAACTTTTTCATCAAGCCGTACATTGCATTTGAACATTATTCAGTTCCCCAGGACAAATTTCCCCAGTGTTTTAAGAACCATTAAATTCATAAGTCAGTAAACTACTATTAGATAATTTTTTCTGCTTTTTTTAATAAATTTCAATAATTTAGTAGTTTTAGTTTTAATCATTTGCAGTAAATTCATTTAAAAACTCAGTTTCTTTTTATATCTTTTTATGTTTTGTGATCATTACATGTGAAATTTTACTTTTGAACACCTTATTAAAAGCATACGGAAAGGCAGTCATGATGTAGGAATAGGACCTGTACCATTTCTAATTCACTGAATAGTGAGTATATTTATTGGAGAACAAATTGCCTTTTAATGTCATAATTAAAAACTTCCAAAGAAATTTGGTGTCAGAATTATAAAAATCAAATTTTAGAATTATTTTCTGTTTTAAATATTTGTTGTTATTATTGTTATTTTCTGTCTGTTAATTTAAAAAAATTCATATGACATAAGACCAGAGAAGAAAATAAATCATTTGAAACAAAAGAAAGCATGGAATTCTTGGAATATATCATTCATATTCAGAAAATAATTTTTAATACAGGAACTTCACTAAATTTAACCAGAACAATTTTTTTACTTTTAAACTACGATAAATATATATGGGCATATTATAGTCCTTGCCACTGTGCAAATGAAAACAAATCTCTTTCAGACTTAAGCTTTAGCAGTTGTACAGCTTTAGCAGTTGTAGCAGTTGTATCTGTATTTTGTACTTGGGTTGATGCTGTCTCTTGCTTTTTTGTTAATGTTCTCTAGTTAGCTATTTTGTATGTATATATGCTATCTGTTTTACTGAAGATATTAATCCTAAAATGAAAAAGGAGGAAAAAATAATTATTTTAAAGTTTAAATTCTTGAAATAGAAACTAAAAATTTATTTTGCTCATCTGAAATAATTATATGAATTGCTGTTTTTATGTACCATATGTTATTGTATAATTAACATGATGGATTAAATTACTTATTAATTATTGTAGATATCTTAGTAGTTTGAACTATTTTGATGTAACAAAAAATGAAACTATACAGTAGTACCGCTGAATAAGAGACAATTCTGTTAGCTATAGTCCCTTTAAATAGGAACCTTAATGTATTTACCTCTTATTAATGGACAATGCCTTTAATATCTTAAATGATTATTAACAAAGAATATTTCTATTTTTATTTATTTCTCTACCTCTATCTTATTTTTGAAACTTTTTTTCAGTGTCTAATAAGAGGTAAATACATTAAGGTCTGTATTCAAAGGAACTGGGAATAAAAAGGGACATATATATTTAAGGGCTGAAATGTCTGATCCGGTGGGTGCTTATTGGGAAGCACTGCTGTATATCTTTCATTGAAATGGAAAACATTTTGTATAATATTTGAAACTGTTTTTTAGTTTAAGAAATTATGCTTTTCAAAATAAAGAATCAGAAATTTTAGTACACAAAATTTTGTGTTATATTTTATGATTATTTAAATAATTTATTTGTATTTAAGGTATGGCTCCATTCTTCCGAGAAAAGATTCGCAATATGGCAATGAAAGAAGGGGATGAAATAATCTTCAGATGCTATGCTATTGGAACACCTAAAGTTGATTATTCATGGTTCAGAAATGATGGAATCCTTTTAGAAAGCAGTAGAATTGTGGTAACCATTTAGTATTTTAATTTATGGCAATAGAAAATTGTTATTGTATTAATGAAAAGAACTCTAAATTTCAGTTGTTTAAGATTTTAATTCTTCTTTACTTTAAAAAAAAAATATTTGCATATGAAAATATTACACCTGACTATTTTTTAAAATGTTCCTGTATTTTATTAATTTATTTATTACAATGAAATGTATGAAGTAACTTATGACATTGAAATCCAGGTGACAGAATTAAAAGATGGAAGATGTGAATTAAGAATAAATCCTACAAGAGCTTATGATGTTGGTGTATATAAATGTGTGGCTCGCAATATGCATGGAGTTAGCTGTTGCAGAGCGAGGCTAAAACTTGGTAGTGAGTATCTACGTTCTAATTTCAATGTTTTATAAGTTAACTCATAAGACATTTAGCCAATAAAAAATTAGAATGTAAAATTTGCTTAATGTAAAATATATTTTTGTAGGTAAACCTGGTCGACCTGAAGCTCCTGTTGTAAAGAATTCTTCTGATACAGAAATATATGTTACTTGGGCAGTCCCACGAGATGAAGGAAACTGTACAACATTAGGTTATACTTTGGAATACAAAAAGTCAGGTAAATATGATGAAGGAAAATAAAGTACATATTAATATTTGTATTGAATATTAATATTTACATTGTACTTAAATTGATCATTTTATAAAAAAAACTCATTTTCATAATTTTATAAATCAAAATGACAGATTATATTATGTTTAATTTGAAATTATTGTACATAATTTTGTGCTCTATGCTTAAAACATACATATATTTATCATTTATGTATGAAATGTATTACTAAGAATTTGTGTATGAGTAAAGAAACAATCACTCCCCCCCCGGCCCGATCATTACTTTCTTCTCATATTTAGAAATTGCTATTCCCACCTTCCTTCCTTTTAAGCATCTAATTCAACAAGTGAAGAGATTTTTTTTTCAATAAAATATGTGCTTTCTAAAGAGTATACTGAGCAATAGGAGAATATGACTAATTGTTCAGAAAACATTTTCCTCTCCTTTATCCAAGACTGTTCAGAACAGAATACTGGTTAGAGAATGGTGGTTTACTGATACCCATGCAGTTGAATTTGGGCCTAATTCCTCATAAGACATGGACAATATTGATTCTAATGTCTTTGTAGCAAGAAGGTGCTTAAAATCTGTTGAGTTGAAAGTTCTCTGAAGAGGGCTGTGGAAAGGGAAGAAATAGTACAGTATCCTTAGATTTCATTCCCTGGATGATTTTTTAGCATGAAATCTGTATTGATCTGGATTGTGAAATGGATTTAAAATGGATTCAGAAGAGATTTTTTTGTGACATCTATAATATGCACATACTTATGTATCTCATATAACTCAAAAATGAGTAGCAGTAGAACATTGAAATTTTGTATATGGGTATACACCTCCCTTTTTCGTTGCAATCAGCCACACCAAACATGTATTCAGTGTCTCTAAAAAGTATTCTCACACTTTAAAACATTTGCAGAAAAAGCACTGTAATCAGGAATTGCATTTGAATATAAAGCCCAATATTTTTTCATATCATCTCCATGTGATTTTGAATAAAACCAATCTTTTCAAATTTTAATACTGGCTTATTTTCTTTCCCTAAAATTGAAAATGTAAGGAGGCATAGATAAAACATGCCACAAAAGTGATCGTATTCCAAAACATTTTCATATAATTTTACAAATAAAATTATCGTCTATTACTTTTTTTTTTATTTTTTGTATTTTAGTGATGTTTAAAAAATTGTGTTGCTTTATTTTTTGCTTGCTTACTTTGTTATATTTTATTTCATGTTTAAAAATGACTTGTATTCGTAAGGAAACAATGAACAGCATTTGAAAATTCGTCATTCTTTATCATCAACACACCATAAAAATGGGATAAATTTAACTAATTAAGGATATCCTGAAATTTGATTCGGAATATCCTCAATTAATTTAATTTATCCCATTTTTACAGTGCAACATGTAATAAAGTGCTTTAAAGAAGAAAATGGGATCCAAAATAAAATAAGAGCAGGTTGTCCGGCAAAGAGGGCTCAACATGATCAGTAATTAATTTATAGTGATAAAATCTGTGAAAAATCTATGTTTGAGTGTTGTAAAGATTTCTACAGAATTTATTGAAAGCTTTTCTACTTTAATTTCATTTCAAAATCTTTGATGAGTGCTCAAAAATTGTTTGGAAGTGCAAAAAATAGAAAGCTTAGACTTTTCTTCTCAAAATTAATGGTAAATAAGCCCAAAGCATACTGGAATCATGTCTTATTTGCAGATGAAAGCAAATTTAACATTTTTAATTCCGATGGGCGTATAATTGTAGCAAGCAAAAAAAAAATGAGGAGCTGAATCCCAAGACCTTGGTTGGAATAGTAAATCTTGGTAGTGGAAGTGTTCTTGTGTGAGGGTGCATGTCAGCATCAGGATTAAATAATTTAGTATTTACTGATGGCATAATGAACCACGCTCTTTATTTAAGTATTTTCCTTATTTAAAATAATTTTAAATTATTCGTCTAAAATTTGAGTAAGGGAAACAACTTTAATTTTTATCAGGATAACAATCATAAGCACATGGCTCTCAACGTCCACTTTTGGTGTGTCTATAGTCCATAAGTGCTTTTTCCTCCCCTTCACTTTAGTAGCAGTAGAATTATGTTGTTTTTATGTTCTGGTTAACGTTTTTATGCCTATAGTTAATCTGCATGCAATAGTTGTAGAATTATCAACAGTTTAAAAGTTTAAATAGCGCTAAGCCTAACGTAGCACAAATTTGTTTACATTTCAAGCTTTTAAAGTGAATAAAGTCAGTTGTGTGCACCAACTTCAGTGTCTTTTTGTCCAACAAGACCCGAAGTTAACTTTGCATACCAAAAATTTTGTCTTCTTGCCCGTTAACCGAATTGCTTGTTTTTCCACAGAAACCCTAATCTTAATTGCAAAAATTGCTTTTCTTTAACTGTATTTGGTACATTAGGTTTTTCTCTGGTTTATAATTTTTAATGAAGATGTTTTGAGTTTTTTGTATTTTTGCTTGCTGCAAAATGAGAGCTAAATTCATCAAATGAGAAATATATATCTAATGAAATTTGAGAAAATAAATTTAAATTAACTGTAGCAAAAATGTGTATGTACTAAAAAGTGTATATAAGCCTTTTAAGGAAGTCGTGGTGCACACATCAGTTTTTTTTTTTTTTTAACTTTTTATTATTATTATTAAATAATCCAGTTTAATTGCTTATCCAAGCAGCCCATCAATAGCTAAGTGACTGTAGCTATGAAACACCAAGAATTCACCATGAGATCTATTACTTATAATTAAGGGTGTGGCTTTGTAGGATTTCCATGGTTTCTTCTTGTTAACATAAGTAAAGGCAAGTTTTTCCTTAGAAATTCTTCCACAAAAGCATCCCATCCCCTTATGATGATAGTCTTAGTATATTAGATCTTAGTTTAAGTAATCGAGTCCAGTTCTAAAAGTTCCCAATAGAGTTATTTTCTATTCTATACATATGCAGAGAATTCAAAAATGTAAATTGGGACTCTCATCACCTGTGAGAATTGTGCAACAAGACTAGCACATGCACATGATAGAGTTCATGTCTATACGGTTCCTGATGAGACAGTTTTGTTGCAGTAGTGGTAAAAGATGCATAATAGCACAAGGTAAAGAACATGTCTATAGGAAATTTATTCTGAAATTGAACTATAAGAAATAATTTTCATGAGGAAAACATCTTAATTATGCTGGCATTCATAGTGAAATTACTTAACTATAAAAAACAAATTCAGTGTATAGGGCTTCTAGCCATAATCAATTGATATCAGTAATTTGATTAAAACTATGCCATTTTAATTAATTTGGATTGTTAAGAAAAGGCTTCAGCACTAATCATATAAAATTATAGTGCAGGTTGATGAAATGATTAACAACAATGACAGTGTGATTGTCTTAGATAGATGTTGTTTAGGATTTTAATCTGTAATTAATCATTGCTCATTCTATTGTCTGAGTGCATCTTGAATATTGCAAAATATGTTTTCAGTGACACTTCCCCATTCATTGATACTCAAATGCAAAGTTACGTTTTTCTTATCTCTAAATTTCTTCTAGTATTACTGTATGTGAGCAATTGTTCTTAAGCTGCATTACAATAGGGAACATCATTTCACCTCTCAAACAAAGAAAATGATTATTGAATAACTGTAATTTATTCAGAAAAAGTCTATAGCTGTGCTATCAGTAGAAAAGATCTTGGCAGTTATCTTCTTTGATTGTCAGGAAATGTTTTACTATAGATTTATGTTGAAGGGTACAAACATTCATGCTGATTCTTATTGCTAGTCAGTGAGATTTTTCATGCAAGGTTGTAAAAAATAAGAGGTGTTTAAAGTTGATCAGAGACACTTTTGTCATTCATGACAGTGCATTGCCATCCAAGACATGCTCAAATGAAACTTTTCGTAAAAATTTTGAGTAAAACATTTAACATCTCTGACACACTTTGTGACTGTTATGTGATTGCAAACTAAAAAAACATCTGCATGGACAATGCTTTCCCAATAATGTATATGTAAAAGACTTCAAGAATCCATAGCAGACTTACCAAGAGGCAGATTGCTACTGCCATAGAATCAAATTTTTAATTCGACATTCAGACGAGTGTCTGCAAATTAGAAAAATAATATGGTATATCTGTGAATATCATAGTGCATCTTTCGCTGAAATTTTCTTGCCTTAAAATAGCTATAACATTCTTTTCAATTCTTTCTCACAGATTTATTTGTAACACTTATGGGGTGTAGAATGAAGTACGAAAACATTTTGGCTAATAGTTATTCAATGCCTTGCTTTCTTATATGCTCCTTTGTTATGCAGTCCTCTGCATAACCACTTCATGAATGACATCACAAAATATAAAATAATGAAAAAAACTTGCCTCCAAAACAATGATGAATGGATGATAGTATGCATATGAAAAGTCTAAGTCATATCTCATTAGTAAGCATAAATTAACAGTCAGTGAAGAAGGTCTGTCAAGTTTGTGTAAACTGTATCCTTAATCTTAGCATGGCTGGTTATTCCAGTGATAAATAAATTAGCCATGGTTAGACTTTACATAGTTCTATTGTATGACAAATGTGGTCATTAGCAAGGAAGGTTTGAAAATTAATTTTATAGATTTGCCTATATTCATCAATGGTAAATATCTTCGTCTAACATGTGGACTAATTTAAGATAAATCTTGACACCATGAATCACAGAATACCCAAATACTTAGGAATATGTAATGGAGTAATAAAAGTATATTTAAAAATGATGGTTACACTATTTCAAATTATCTTTGTATTCAGTTTTGCAGATAGAACATCACCAAAGCCAAATGTAAGATTATACATACAAGATATTTTCGATGCTATTTTGAATGTATTTTAAGAAACATATTTATGCCCTTAAATTTTAAAAGGTATGTAAGTTAAGAAGAATACTCTTTTGGGTATTCTTCTTAACACTTCTGGAAAAATCCAGAAGAATATTCTTCTGGGTTCTGGTGTACAAAGCAAATTTGACCTAGGCATTGGCTTCTGGGTTCTGGTGTACAAAGTCATTTCATTAACCTAGGTATTGGCTGTAGTTGTAATAAAAATGTTCAGTATTATGTTTGTTACGTGAGGAAATGAAATTTGAAAAAATTTCAGGCAGAGACAGTGAAGAACAGGAAGGACACAATTTTGAATTAATTTAATTTTGCATTTAATGAGAAATAAAATAAAATCATTTATTAATGTTGTTTAAAAATAACACAATAAATGAAAATCTATTTCTAAGACTGTTGCTAATGTTGCATTTTCAAGCCTTTTGAGGAAGCTAAATTTATATTATATCATCCAGAACATTTGAATTATTCCTGTGGTTTAAAAATAATGCAATTTGTATGTGCATGTGTACATCTGATGTTCATTTGTATTTTTAAAGTAACAAACAATTTTTTTTTCATTAAATAAAGAGAAACATTTATTTAATGCAGTACTTATTCAGTTCATGAATTATTACATAATTTGAATTTTTGTGGAAGGAAGGACAATTTGAATATTAAAAACTCTTAACGTTATAAATTATCTTATAATCTCCTATTTTCCCCCCTTACAGATGAAGAAGAATGGATAACTGTTTCAAACAACATAGAACATGAATATTTTGTTGTTAGAAATCTGTCACCTTCCACATATTATCAATTCAGAGTAAAAGCATATAATAAATTTGGTTGGGGAGAAGCTGGTATTCCCACAGAACCTGTTTCAACAAAAGCAGAAGGTAAAAAGTGAAGAGATGAAACATTTGTTTGTATTTTATTTTTATTATTAGTATTTTATACTAAATGACTAACATTTTGAACTATTTTTATTATTGGTATTTTATACTAAGTGACTAACATTTTGAATTAAGCTAGAAAAATGTTAATTTTTTCTCCTTTTATATATATGTGTAAGATAAAAAATAGACAACTTTAATTTCCTACAGACTCTTAATTGTGTTTTTTAATTTAGATATTTCTCTTTTTTGTTTTAAAAATAATAACATGCTTATAATAAATATGTCTACACTGCATCATTTCAGAATAAATCCCTGTCACATGATTCTTACATAACACAGATAGTTACATAGTGCTTCAGCCAATAGTAATGCTGATATATGCAAATTAAAACTGAAATCTTTATTAATCAATCAAAATAAAGTCAAATCAAAACTGGATCATTTTTATATGACATATAATCTACACATTTTTTCTCAGCTTTTCTAGTTTACAGGCTTGTTATTTATTCACTGCTGCTATTTTCTAATATTTATTAAAAATGTAAAAATGCTCATGTAACTGTTTAGAAATAGGTGCACTTTTTGCACCAATTTAGCTGCAAAAATGTTTTATTAAATAAAAAAAAAGTCAACCAACCAAAGTTGCAACTCGTTATTATCAGATTTCATTACATACATATATAAGTGAGTTATATATATATAATGCACTTTTATCTTTATATGTATTAGAAAATGCAAGCAAAGTAATAACTGTTCTTGCAAATCATAGTTAAAGCATGTCATAGTTTCTGGATTTTCATACTTTTGATATATGTTTTATCTAAAATTTACTAGAAAAGTTAAAAGATTATATACATGCATATGTATTTGTGTATTATTTGTTATATACTGTCTGTGAATTAATTTTGGTGGGTTGAAGTAAATTATAAGAAAGGTATATATCATATCATTTGCACATATTTTGGATTATTTAAAAATTTATAATATACTGTTATAAATAATTTCAGCATTTGTTAAGAATTGGTTTTGATTAAAAAGTCATAACTTAAGTGGAAGTTTTAAAGTATAACAAAATTTCCCATCTTATTCAAAGTTGCAATTTGTTTAATACTTGTAGGAGAAGATAGTTAAGAAAAATTATTTTTTTGCTTTAAGATCATTGTGTTGTTCATCATTATTTTGATTGATTCTGTTAAGGATGTACAAAAAAATATAATATATTATAATTTTCAGCAAGAACATTAAGAGCCTAATGATGCATGCAAAATATAATATATATTTTTAAAGAAGGTGTTCACACACTTTTAGAACAATTTAAATAAAGAATTTTGAAAAAGCAAATAATTTTTGGACAAAAATTTCTGGCAATAGCTTATTATTTCAAATGAGGAATACTTTATATACTACTTTGAAATTTATTCTTCTTTCAAAATATCACATATAAACAAGCTAAGGAATAAAGTATATATTTTTTCACTTTACAAAGAGAAATATTTCTCTTTCATAATTCAAAAGTGTTATGAAATGCATGGTATTAAAACTTCTAAGTTCAAAATAGGCAGCATTATTAATCAGAATGGGAAACATCAGCAGTTATTACTTCTACATGGAAAGAAGACTCCAAACATATACTCAAAAAAGGTACTTACTGTTTCTAATGTTTCTAAAATTGTTGGTAATAAGAGAAAATCTGCTAATGCAGATATGAATTGCAATATCTTTAAATGCATATAAAATAATAAAACAAGATTTACAATTTAATAAAACTAAAATATAATGTTCATTAGCTTTTGCTGAGACATGTGGCTCAATGCAGAAAATTCGCAGAACCCTGCATGAAAACTATTTAGCAGCAGATAAATGAAAATACATTGCAACTCTTGATGAAACATTGGTTTAAATAAATAACTGCAACAAGAAAAGGTATATTTATTATTGAAAACAAAAAGAAAAAAATGTGCAAATGTGATTCTGTCTATGCATAGAAAGTTTCAGTAAGGGTATGATTTTTGCAGGATTCTCTTACAGTGGGATATTAAAGATAAGAAGAGGGGGACAATGTTAAATTCAGCTTAATGTACTATCAAAAGAAAGTTTTACATCTGATATTTATAGAAGAAATTACATTACTTTATCCCATTGACTTTCAAAGAGTAAAACTTCATCAAGGCAAAGCAAGAAATCATACTTTGAAAATTACCACTGCATTCTTTGAAAAAATGAAAACTGATACAGGATTGCATATGCATCTTTTCAATGCATTCCTGCAAAGTCACCTGACATTTCATCTATCGATTATTGTGCCTTTAATCTCTTGAAAAGAGCTCTTTCTGATAGCAAACCCACCATGATTGATAAACTCTGGAAAGTAGTGGAATAGGAATAGAATGCAATATCCCTCAAAATTTTACAGAAAGCCCTTCTGTCATGGAAATCATGATGCAGAATTACAGTCCAGAAAAAAAAAAAAAAAAAAAAAAAAAAAAACTACCAAATTGAACATTAAAAAAAATACTATTTACTTTCAAAACAATTAATTAAATGGCTCTAAAATCATTCCAAAAATGTATTAATGCCCTCTCTATTTATATACTATGATAATAACTTATCCAAGTGATGGAATAATCATAAAGTTTTCAAAAGTTCAGAAAGGGTCTAAATTAGAGCTTCCAGAAGATGTAAATTGATCAGTAAGAAATATATCTTAATAACTGAAATATATGTTAGTGAATATATTATTACATGTAAGTGAATTTTATAACAGTAAATGAATTTATGCAGGTGAAAATGTTTTATAAATGTTTTTAAACATAATAAAATGAAAATTTATAAATTTGCAGTATTAAATAAAATTGCAATTCTCAAGTAAAAGTTCATTCACTTGCCATAAAACCTTTTTATCAAAAGCATCTGTATTTCAGATTTAAATTATGAATAATAAAACTAACATATGCTAATAACCATAGGTTCATTTTCATTAATTGTGTACTATTTGCTGAAGAGCTTTTTAATTCTTCATTCAGCTGATACCATAAAGTGTTTCACTTCTAATATTAAGTTGGGTATATATTTCTGTTTTGATATATTTAAAAACATTTGGTTGTGTCTTTATGAATATTTATTCACAAAAGTAACTGTCAAAAAGTAATAAATGTAATAATTAACATTTCTGAATGCCAAGAATGTTTCCCAGAGTACTCCACAGGTTGTGACTGACAAAATCAACTTCAGTTATGACTGATGCAATCTGTAAGAAAGGGAGAACTTCATTAAAATTTTGATGGTAGAACATTCCAAGGAGCAGAACTGAGCATTTCCTTACCTTTTTCTCCTAGTGGCAACATCATGAGGGGACTTTTGTCTTGATGATATTTTAAGTGGCCCATGCCTCAAAGACACTATATGCTTATAAACACCCATACCTTCATTCAAATTCAATATTCAAATAGCTAAAACTGTATACTATTACTAAGCCAAGCAACTTGTACACTCTCCTGTTGACATATAGGATCTTCTGCACAAGTTAATTCTGTGTCATTTATTTATTAAGGACACTGTGAATAGGTATCATTTTCTAAAGCATTTACATAGCTGCCAACTGTTCCTGTTGTTGATTGCATCTCACGTTTTCTTAGTCTTAACTAAGGAAAATATTTCTCAGCAATAAATGAAATTTATTGCATTAATAAAACATAAATTAGGCAAATTTCATTCCCTCATCTCTCATGATTTGCAGAAAATCCTTCTTATTAAATTTTATTTCTCCAGAATTATACTATTTTCTCATTACATTTTATTGATCTTTGCTTTATTAAATGTTTCTTATAAAATTTTATTTGATCTGAGTTGTCTTAATCTACTGTAGGCAACTGTGTATTTTTATATGAAGATTCAAGTAATGGTACATTACTAAGTTTATCAACGTAAATACTATGCACATTGATTATTATTTTTATTATTTATACTATGCACATTAATTTTATTTTTATCGTATTTAAAAGTACTTTGATAAATAAAAGCTTTCCTCTACTATGGGGAATTTTCTTAGTATGAAAGGATAAGAGAATTAAAAAATGAAATTAGCTAAAGAATATAAAATTTATAATATTCAATTAAATATTAATATATTTTACATCAGAACTGACTTACAACTAGTTCATATGAAGTGAATTATAATTAGTTTAGGTGAATAACAATGATACTTCATGAAGTATCGAAACACACTTTATTTAGCCAATATTAATCAGGATAGCTCCAAAGTCAGTAATAAAAAGTCTACTATAAGCATGCTGAAACAATCAGTGACACAGCTTTCAGGTTATCAAGCTATCATGGTGAAGACAGCTTCACTACAAATGCACCAGAGTGCAGCTCCCGACTCTGCTTGGTCGTTCTCGAAACTCCACATACTCTCGAGACTCTCCACGCTACAACTCGCGATGCACTCGATGACACACAAAGTACAGCTCCCGACTCCTTAGTTCAGTCATTCCTGGAGCTCAACACACTCTCTCGACAATGCACTAACCACGATACACTACGAGACTCTTTCGGTGCATTCGGCACTCACTGCCTGGCTGTCAATTTGATCGACTCCACATGGATTGACTCGGTAGACGAGACACCAACTCAATACTAACTAACTCTCTGCGTACCAGCAGGGTTTATATAGCTTTCGGCTGGTGTTCGAGAACATTCTGGGCTAACCTGGTAAGAATTCGTTCCAGAAGGTTCTCCATCTGTCCATGGCATATCCCCAATTTTTTCGCCATATGTGGCAACCCTACCTTATCTTGCAATTTTATGGCAACCCTAAAGCTTGTTTGCGGGGAAGCCATCTTACCGCTCCTGTACATTTCTTAACAATATATATACACATGCACGTATGATCAGACCCAATTATCATGGATTTTATGGAACAAAGCTAATTCCCTTTGAAAAGTCAGCAACTTCATTTTAATTTTCTTGTGATTTTTAATATTTTTATTTTTGTTTATTAGTGTGGCGACTCTGTAAACATGTGTTGTACTCACCAACTGCGCGCCGTTATCACTAACTGTAACCGAAGGTGATTTCGGCGACACACAGTCATGTCTCGTCGTCGGCGGTTGGTCGCTCGCTTTCCTCCAACGTGATTGTCTGTCGACTGTAGTAATTAAGTTTTAATATTGTGATGTGATTAAATGTTTTTTGTTATAAAAAAATTGTCTCTTATGGCATGTTACGAATTCATCCTTAAAAGCACTGGCAAATTCCAATACGCATAGTTTGTTGTTGCACACACCTGCAACCACGTGCAACAAATGGTGACTTCAGGACGGTGAGGCTTTAAGCCAAATGAATCGTCAAAATTTATAGTACAGCAGAAATTTTGTGCTTAAACAAGACCTTGTAATGTGTGCGAAATGCAGCTGAACCAATAGTTTTTACTTATGTGTATTGGATTACTTATCGTGTCTATTGGATCGTGTATCAGTTTCATCATATTACAGCCACGTGGATTACCTTCATGTTTTCATTTGTGATCATCTTTCAGACATACGGATTATCTTCATCTTCCATTAGTGATAGTGTTCCAACATCAAGCGAGTGGATAATTTCTGTACATCAGGGTGATATTTTCAACCTTTTATTCCGCACATAGATTCGTATGTATTCGTCAAGTGGGTGAGTTTTTTCCTATATTCATTTGAACCCAGGTCCTAATATTAATTATTTTGTGTTTCTTCACATGTACTGCAACAATATTCTTGAACTATATCTTTTTTTGTGTGTTATCTGTATTTATTCATATTTATTATGGCTACTAATGATCCTCTAGCCACTGATGACAAACAAGTGGCTCGCGTTGCTGTGAAACCTGCCCCATTTTGCCATAGTGACCCCAACCTTTGGTTTTTTTCAATTAGATGCACAATTCAAGCTCAAGGGTATAACACGAAATTTTATACTGCAATTTCCGCCCTCGACACTGAAGTTCTTCAGTCAGTACGCGAGATTGTTCTGAAACCCCCCTCGGATAATAAATGCAAGGAATTGAAAAATAAATTAATTTCAGTTTATGAGGCATCTGAAAACACCAAACTAAAGCAGTTATTACAAGATTTGAAACTTGGTGATATGCGCCCATCCCAGTTATTGTCAAAAATGCAGGAGCTTGCGGGTGACAATTTTAAGTCCAATGTTTTACAATCATTGTGGCTCAATCATCTAACGAACAATATCCAAGCTATTCTTGCCTCCAGTAACGAGAACCTACCCCAACTGGCCCAAATGGCAGACAAAATTCGTGATGTTCTCCAACCACAAGCAATCAGTCAAGTTCAGCATCCCAGTGTTGATATTTCATCTCTTAAACAACAAATCCAGGAATTATTATTGCAGGTCGCAGCCTTACAGACACGATTTCAGTATCATCCATGCGGTAGATCAAAGTCCCGGAACCGAAATAATAGGGAATACCAACGCGCTCATTCTGAAACTCAATCAGACATTTGTTTCTATCACAGCCAATTTGGTGATAAAGCACGCAAGTGTACATCTCCATGCAAATTTCAGAAGACCTCTTTAAACTGAAGGGGCCGTCACTCGAAGCCATGAGTTACAACGGCCCGTGCATTAGTCGATTGTTCGTAAAAGATACACCATCAGGCAGACGTTTTCTTGTTGATACAGGTGCTGACAGTTCGGTTGTACCTCCCTCTCTTGCCAAATCTAAACGGCCGCCTGGAAAATTTAACTTATTTGCAGCTAACAGATCAAAAATTGCAACATATAGGGAAATATTAATGTCTTTGGATCTAGGATTGCATCGCAAATTCCAATGGCCATTTGTCATCGCTGCGGTTTCACACCCAATAATTGATGCAGACTTTCTGCACAAATTTTCTCTTTTGGTCGACATTAAACATCGACGCTTACTCTACTCCATCACACAATTGTCCGTGGTAGGTAGTATTGGAAATGCCACAAATTTTGGAATTAAATTAATTTCCGGTAATTCTCCTTTCCATAAACTACTTGAGCAATACCCTAATGTCATCCGCTCAGTAACTGGCAAACCGACTGCTGACCACGGTATTGTACACATCATAGAGACTACTGGACCACCAATCTTTGCCAAAGCACGGTGGTTGCCTCCAGATAAATTAAAGGCTGCAAAAGAAGAATTTAAATACATGCTTGAGCAAGGAATCTGTTGGCCATCTAAAAGTTCATGGGCCAGTCCACTCCACATGGTCCCTAAGAAAAACGGCGACTGGCGTCCTTGTGGGGATTATCGACGTCTTAATTCAGTTACTTTGCCAGATAGATATCCGGTTCCTCATATTCAGGACTGCATGCAAGTCTTGGAAGGCAAAAATATTTTTTCTACGTTAGATTTGACTCGTGCTTACCACCAGATCCCTGTCAATCCACCTGATATACCAAAAACTGCTGTAATAACACCTTTTGGATTATTCGAATTTCCTGTCATGACTTTCGGGTTATGTAACGCTGTGCAAATGTTTCAGCACTTTATTAATGAAGTCCTTCGAGATTTAGATTTTTGTGTCCCATATTTCGATGACATTCTGGTAGCCTCGACAACTGAAAACCAGCACCTTGAACACCTTTGCACCGCTAATTTTCGCTTTTCGACAAAAGCCTGACAAGGCTTCTCCCAGGCAAATGCGTCATCTTGATTACATAGCGCAGTTTACAACTGATTTTAGGCATGTAGAAGGCCCTCAAAATACAGATTGCTGATGCTCTGTCCAGAATCTTGAAGAGGTTCAGTTGCCATTCAACAACATACTTTCTCCGCCATTGCTGAATGTCAGAAACAGGACCCAGAATTGCAAAGTCTTTTGTCTGACAAGTCTTCTCATGGTTACTTAATTTAGTACCTATGCAGTTAGAACCAGATCGTTTCACTGTACTGCGATGTGTGGGTACAGTGTGGTACGTGGTCATACATTTCCATTGAAATTCCGGCATAGGTATTTTTAGAAGCCTCCATAATTTATCCCATCCTGGCATCCGTGCTTCTCGCACGTTAATTTAACAGCGTTTTTGTATGGCCTGGTATGCAGAAGGACATCGCTGCATGGGCGAGCTGTCATATGTACAGACTGTCAAAAATCAAAAATTCACAGGCACACTCGAACTCCATGTCAACGCTTTCGAGTTACCATCTGCTCGCTTTAGCCACGTACCATATCGATTTGGTTGGACCCTTACCCCCATCACTAAGGTTATACATATCCTTCTTACGTGTGTCGACAGATACACACGTTGGCCAGAGGCTATCCTTATTGTAGATAAATGTCAGCCGATACTGTGGCCAAAAAACCTTTTTTTCTGTATGGATTTCACGGTTTGGGGTACCCGAGTACCGTTACCACGGACCAAGGATGGCAGTTCGAATCTCAATTATTTACTGCATTAACAAAATTCTTGGGAACTAAAAAGATCTGTCACATCACCGTACCACCCGAATTCCAATGGACCTTGTTGAGAGGTTCCATCGCTCTCTTAAACAAGGCCATTAGATGCCATACTGCTATTCACTGGGTTGATGTCCTTTCCCACTGTGTCGTTAGGAACTCAGAACGGCTATCAAAGAGGACCTGGGTTCTTTCAAGTGCTGAAATGGTTTACTGGTACCAATTTACGTTTACCTGGGAGATTTTATAAATCCCGCACAAAAAACTCACCCAATGTCCAGCCCATGCATTCCTCAAGACAATTGCGTGAAACCATGGTTGCATTATACCTAAGCATCCACAAGCATACATTCTTCAAGACCTGTGTTTGTTCCTAAAGAACCTCGCTACATCCTCACATGTGTTCTTACGGTGTGATGCATCAAAAAAGTCCTTGGAGCCTTACCTATACCAGGCCCACACCTAGTTCTAAGTCGCACATCCAAGAACTATCGGATACTAATCGGCGACAAAGAGACAGTGGTGAGCCTTGATCGTCTCAAACCAAACCTTTTATCTTAGCACCACAAACTGTCGACGAATGGTACATCAGTCTCATATCCCCCTTCGAAGGCACCTTCATCTATTGGGTCTACACCAACATCTGCTACTACGTCAGTTCCTGTGCTTAAATCCCAGAAAACAAGTGCTCCTCAGTATACACGTTCCGGACGTAGAGTCCGATTTAATCCTCGGTACCTTTAATTCATTGCCACTGGAGGGGGAGTAGTGTGGCGACTCTGTAAACATGTGTTGTACTCGCCCCATGCGCGCCGTTATCACTAACTGTAACCGAAGGTGATTTTAGCGACACACAGTCACGTCATGTCGTCGGTGTGGTTGGTCGCTCGCTTTCCTCCAACATGATTGTCTGTCGAATCTAGTAATTAAGTTTTAATATTGTGATGTGATTAAATGTTTTTGTTATAAAAAAATTGGGTCTTATGGCATGTTATGAATTCATCCTTAAAAGCACTGGCAAATTCCAATACGCATAGTTTGTTGTTGGACACAGCCGCAACCACGTGCAACATTAGTTTCAGTTGATTGACTTTACAGTTCTAGGTCTATTACATGTTTACTAGCTTTATGTAAATCTTAAGTATTAGCTTTAAATTTAAATGGATTTAATTAAATAGTTTTACCCTTTATTTTCTAGGAAATGATCATAAAATAAGAAATTATTAATTAAATTTATATACTATATACCTACAGATATCTAATTCTTTTATTTATATCTAATATTTCATAGTGATCATCCAATTCCTTTAAAGAACTTTCATAGTTTTTTAATTAAAATTCTTAGGAGATTAATACTGAGGGATGTTTTTTGTTTCATAGGTACAGAGAAAGTAAAAGTTAGTCCTAGAAGGAAATATCAGCAAGAATTTACTGAACGAACTCCTGATTATGAACTGAAAGGAAGTGAAATACCTGAACTTGATTACAACAGAGAAACAAATCCTGTGCCTCTAGTAGAGGGAGATCCACTTGATTTGTACAGAATAGTATCGGAGATGGACAGGTGATACATTTTATTTTATTTTATTTATATTTATTTATTTATTTTTCTGTCTTGCATTTTACTAACTAACCAGCATCAGTCACAGTTAAAATTGCAAAAAGAATATACTAATTTCATAAAGTATCTAAAAAATACTGAAAAGTTTGTTAATCACTATAAAGAGCTACAGATTGCTTAAAAATATGATAGAGCTTCAATTATTAATTGCTAAAATATGTAGAAATGTTTGTTTAAAAGTGCTTTCATCTGAAAGCTACTGAAATCTGATGCTTTTCCTTAATACTACTACTACCCTGGCTTACTTTTCCCCGCTAGTTTGGCACAATCTCAGATTTCACTTATTAATAAATATATGACTTCAACATTCCTCTTAAAAAATTTATGATTTAGTACAAAGCAGTGCAAGAGTTTTAAAAACTTTGATAACTAATTAACAAATCAAATTATTTAATTTTATTATTAAACTATTTTTAAAATATGTTCACAAATATGAAATGTGGATGCCAAAGGGTTTATTGTGAATGAAATTTACATAACAATTTTCACATACAGTTATTCAATGTGTAGTATTATTATATTATGCTTTCATGTTTAGAAAGTCAAAAATTTTTAAACGGAGTAAAATTTTGAATGCAACTACTTTCAAAACAGCTTCTTATTTTTTATTTTATTCTGTTATATATATAATTTAATGTTGTATTTCTAATAAGTCATTTTCATGTGATTATTTACCCAAATTTTATGATTTGACAAAATGCTACTTTTTTGTCTCAGTAAATCTTAAATTTTCTTAGTTATATTTCAACAACTATATAAAGCACAGCCAAATTCCAAATATTTAAAGTATTGTCACAAGAAACAATTATTTTTATCACAATTTTTTTTTTTAAAACTAGTCATTCAATCATGTTCAAAACATGTAAGATTTAATGAAAAAGAGTAAAAGTTGTGCTAATGGCTATTGAATTTTTTAGCACTCACTTTTGGTGATAAATTAGCCAGTACCATTAATAAAACAAATTACCAAAATTATTGTAAGCAGTAATCCTATTAAGCGTAAGCTTCTACAACATAGCAAACCTGATATAGAAGCATTCACACTATGGGTTAAATATCACAATTGTCATCATAAGTCATCAATGTTTGACTCCATGCTTAGAGTTATCAGCCAAAGAAGTGAAATCACAGTAGCATTTAACTTGATCATAAAAACAAGCTTAAATTTCTAAAAAAGACAAACACTGCTGATATAAGCAGGTTTAATTTGTTTAAAAGATTAATGCTTAATTTTTTCTGAGAGCAGTTTAGATTCTTTTCACTTGTAATTCATAATATATCTGCACGCTATGCAATGAGTCATGTAATGTAGAAACAATATTAGTGTAAATTAAACCTGGTCCTTATATATTGCTCCAATATTCATTGCTGAATATTGATCTTATTTATTGGTCTGAGCTCTCTTGTGAGAGTTTCATATTCTTGCATGGAGCTAGACTGCTGTATCTCAAAAGAGACAAAAGGATTATAATCTTATTCTTGATAGCAGTTAAGCTGAATTATTTAGAAAATAATTCAAAAGTTGAATGGATTTTAGTTGACTCAGATATTTATGTATTGATTCTTACTGAGCTGTATGAGTTCTTTAACAGAAAAAAATTTTTTTTTTCATTTTTCTTTAAATGTTTTTATCAGAATTTATGTCCATTTATCAGAAAAGATTTCAGTTTCATCAATATAACAATGTACTTTATTTCTCCAATCTTTCTAAAGTGCAGAAGAAGAAAATGCTATTACAATTGATTGTTGCTTTTAAATATTTTTCCACCACTTAAATTTTCATATTTGTCTAATGTTCCTTTTTAATTGGTGATTTGACCCAAACAGCTATTAATAATATTGAATTTTATCCTTTTACCTGTTGTTTGAAACTTGCCTATAGTTATTTGGTGGCTTCTTTTTAAAAACCTTGTTTCACTTTCTTTGTATTTTGATTTTTCTTGGTTATTACAGCTACTGATAGACTTCTAGCGATTTCACCTCTTGCCAAACAAATTTCTCTCTCATCTGATAAAATTTGATGCTTAGTATCTGTTAGAATTCCACTGTCTTTGAGCTTATTTTCTTATGCATATAAAGTTTTTTGTATTTAAGTGTCATTACTAATTTATTCCTGAAAAGGTCTTCAGAAACAAGTCTTTTTGTCGAGTTTTAATATAAAATTCTGGAAGAGATATGTGAAGATACGTTTTTTATTATTCAGAGCTGCATAACTTTCTTCATCTTTTAGTGGTCATTTTCATGCTTATTTCAGTTTTGACACGTTAGGACATCCATGATATGGTGATGTTGCTGAAAAAATGCAACTGTATCTGAAATACAGGCCTTTTCTCTCTAGGCATCAAATATGTGCTCATAATCAAATCGGCTTAAGTTAAAACTTTTCTTCACGACTGATAAACGTTTATGTATAATGTAAAAGATAACATTGGTTTACAAAAGGTAATTATCTTATCACTTCAAATATCAGAAACTGTTCCTAATGATAATGATTTACAAAAGATAACTTTGCTATCAGAAATTGTTCTTAATGCTAACTTTAAATAACATTAATATATTTATTTTATGCACATAATTTTTTTAATATGTTATGTTATGAAAAACTTATGCACTTTTAATTACAGTTTATTAAAATTTACAATGTTTAACTTTTTCAGTAGCTTTTTTTAAAAAAATTCATCAATTTTTGCAACACATGTAGCAATTTTTATTGTCAGAAAGTTTTTATGTCAGCTTTTGATCACTGATTATCTAAATATGCCATTTCATACTTTTGAAAAATAATCAGTCACTTTGTATTAAAGGTAAATTTTAAAGATACTTAATCTCTTGGTATTAAAGGTTGTTTAAATTTAAAAGCTATTTTGGAGATTCAGATTTCATGTAATTTAAATAATCACTGTTATGAAATCTAGTGTATGAGTCAAAAAATAGATTTTATTTATTTATTTATTTATTTTTTATTTTTTTTTTTAATTTTTAGAGGGAGGTATTCAGTTGTGCTAAACGTATGGGTTAAAGAATCTAACACATCCAGTATAGCTAAAGTTATTCAGAAGACAGACGCCATTGATGGAAAAGATGAATATGAAATTCTCAAATCATTATGCCACGAAAGGATTGTAACCCTGTTGTCTGCCAGTTACCATGCAGATAAAACTGTTTTAATTATGGAAAAACTATCTGGAGTTGATGTGATGACCTACCTTGCATTGCGTCATGATTATAATGAAGAGCTTGTTATCACTATAATTAAACAGGTATATTGAATCCTTTATTTTGTAGGCTTTTTTCGAAATTTTTTATTCACACATTTAAATTTTAAGACAATGAATGCATTTTTAATAATGAACAGAATTATGTGAAGAACCTAGCCATCATAAAGGCTATTTTGCTACTGTTAATATTTTTACATGAATATATGTAGTGCTTCAAAATGAATCAAAGCACTGCTTTTGGAAGCATCAAATCTGTCATGTTTGTATGTAAGTTATTTTGTAACAAGCTGTATATGGCTCAGTAATCATATTTTTATGACTTATACAATACTTTTAAGTACCAACTTACTTTCTCCTAATATTTATTTCATTTTCCTAAGTAAAAGAAAGCTCTAAGGTAAAAGTGGCACTTTCCTAAGTAAAAGAAACCTCTGCTGTGGAGGTAAAAGTGCAATAGTAAAAGGATAAGGAAGTTCTGGTTCAGAAATTCAGGACAGTAGAATTCAGCCTCGACATCCATACTAAACAGGCTTTAACGCTAGGTTTTGAAATTATGCCAAACCAGAATCTGCTTATGAGCATCTGGAAGTTTTCGGGTAGGTTAAACACATAAAAATCTGCCAGTTCCATTACACTGTCAACAGGTAACCTATGAAGTCATTCCTGCTCATATGATCCAGCATATAAACATTTGACAATAATTAATTATCAGAACATCAGTTTCACCAAATTACAACTGACACCAGTAAAGTCAGATTTTCTGCAACATCTGGAAATGCAGTTGGTTTGCATTTAGCTACCATCTGCAATTTAAATGAGATCATGTAAGCATAAAACTATACTATGTATGTGGTACTTCTCTGAAGTGTTCATTCAGTGGGAGTTTGTTACAGGTGGCAATGAGTCTAATTCAGACTGGAGTAAAATTTTATTGTTTCAAGAAAATATTGATGTTATAGTAAGAAAATCACCTAAAATATTAAAGTTTAATAAATTTAAAATGTCATCAAAGTAAATTTCTTTATTACTTTTAATAGCAAAATAATGGTTATCCTTAACAGAAGGCTATTATTTTTACACAGAGAGCATATCTAGTCCAAGATCAACTTCATAACATTACTTGAAAGAAGTGAACAACTGTCATGTTACCATCAAATAAAATGTTAAAGAACTTCACCAATCATAAACAATCAATTTGTCAATCATAAACTTTAAAAGTGTTACATTACAGGATTCTAGAGTGCTTTTTCATGAAAAGCCATTAATGTTTTCTAACAAATGCTGCTGCAGTGGATTTCAGTTTTCTATTTATCCAATGAAATAATTTTTAGTTGATAACAATAAAAGAGTGATTTTGTTGAAAAATAAAATTTTGTCATGTTGCCACCTTGTTCTCTTGTTTTATTAATAATTTTGAAATCATTCTTATTACCAGTATTATGAAATCAAACAGTAAATTAAATTATTGATCAAGTTAAGGTTATAATAATATGTAGCACTTTACAAGTGAGTTAGAAAAATGCACTCATCAAAAGTGAAATCCCAACACCATGAAATAATGCATGTAGCGGGGTGAAAATAACAGGATCGGTAGATGTCAAAGACGTGCAATAAATTCTCATATGCATCTAATCACATGATACTTAGTTTTTGACTATAAAAGCCAGTGGCTGGCTCGCTGTATATATACTGTTTATTAATGACAGATTGTGGTAATGGAATTGTTAAAGAAGAGTAGAAAATGCCTGGGAGACATCAGTGAGCTGAATACCAGTAGTTATCATCTGAGGAACGAGAACATTTCCTAGAACTGCATGAGCTTGATTTGTCGATGTGTGCAGTTGCTAGTCATGTTAGACGAGACGTTAGTACAATTGAGCGATATGCGGCATGATGCTTGCAGAACCATCTGAGAACATCGCAAAGAAGCAGTATATCATCCAGGTGCATGTCAGATCGCACTGATAGGTAAATTCAGCCAATGTTTCGTGAGGACCCATTCACCATGGCAAGTCGTATTCATATCTACCTACCATTATTAGAAGAGCATATGTCTCCTGCCAAATCATCCATAGCAGGTTGCATGAGGCAGGGATGCATGCATGGCAACTGGTCACTGGCATCCCTGTAATCACTCGACACAGGGTTGCCCGTCTGGCTTGGTGACGACGTTATCTTCAATGGAGGAATGAATGTCATTGGTTATCAGTAAAGGGCACAGCCCAACCTGCCTAACCAAACAAGTTAGTCACATGGTCATGACAGGCCATCATGTGGAATGTCATTGGGTATTGTTTTTAGACGAATCCCGATTTTGTTTATGGAAGAATGACAGTCATGACATGCCCAGCCCATATTATTGATTGTCACACTGGTCTCACACCGGGCTTCATGATTTGGTATGGCATCATGTTTGGACAGCAGACCAACCCTTATGCACATTATTAGCAGTTTAATATTGGGCCGATACATAACACAAATTGCTACGCCTGTGATTTGGCCACTTTGGCACATTATTCCGGCAGGACAATGCCCGACCTCATGTCGCACATCACATTCTGAATGGAATTGATATCCTTTCCTGGCCGGGAGCCTCAGTCAATTTCTTCCCCATAGAGCATATGTGGACTGCCATCGGACATGTGGTGCACAGGACACGTAGAGGAACTGAGAGCTGCAGTAGACTCGGCTTAGCAAGGAATATCTGAAGATACCATTAATAGCCTCATAGACAGTATACCTGGCCATTTAGAGGCCTGTATAGCTGCTTATGGTGGCCACTTTAGATATTGAATAAACAGTTTAATTTTTCATGTCTTTGTTTCTTTAATCATCTGTGTCTTGCCTCTACCAATCGTATTATTTTCACATCGCTATGTGCATTCTTTTATGGTGTTGCTGTTTCACTTTTAACGAGTGTATATAAACATAATGAAAATGTAGCTATTGTAATTCCTTTGCCATGTGTAACATGAATATGAGCCAGTTTTCCTTAAAAAGAAATCCCTTCCTTTAGGTATAAAACCCTTGTGTGCTTTGCCATATTCAAATAGCCTAACCTAACCTTAATTCCTCTATTTCATTATTTGATATTTTAAAGTTTAGTAAAAAAGGCTAAAATGCATTTCATATCTATATATTATGGTGAAAAGATTTTTTAATAATAGAATAAACTGAAAATATGAATTTTAATCTAGAATATTATTTAAAAATAATAAAATTCTCTAGATGTGTAAGTTATTGTTTCCTGTGAATTACTCAAGAATTAAATATTTTCAGGTTCTTGAAGCAATACAGTATTTACATTTTAGAAGTATCTACTATATAGAGTTACAGCCTGATAATGTTGTGATGGTGAATTTAAGAGATTCTGATATAAAGCTTGTAGACTTTGGATCTGCACGTTTTGTTTCTAAAACTGGTGGAAAAGTACATGTTCAAGGAATTCCTGAATATTTAGGTAAGATAATATTAAAAATTGTACTAGCATGACAATATATAACATTTTTAAGTACCTTTATATTATTTATAAATTATTGTATTTAATTTTAATATGTGTTGTATGTAAAAGTGATTTTCCAGAAAAAGCTACTCTCAAATTTTCAGCAAACTATGCAGCTATCGTATACAGTACAAAGTCCATAATCCGGACTCGTAGGGACTTCGGCAATTCCGAATTAGGGGGTTTTCCGGATTATAGATCATCAATTTAATTTGGTAAGATGGCATCCAGAAATTATACAATTAAAAATATAAAATCGTAATTTATGAAATAAAGAACAATTATGATCTAAAAAGTATCAAAATTTACGAAAAAAAGCTTAATATTTATTTGTTTACTTTATTAAACATTTCTTTCAATGTAAGTTGTTTACGATGCTTCCACAAAAAATTCAGAAAGTTCCTTTTTCTTGTGTCATATATAGTGGACTTTCCAATGCCATACTTTTCGCATAATTTTGAGACGGATAGGCCTTTATCCATTTTTTGCAGCAATTCCACTTTTTGTTTAATGGGCATCGAAACATGCTTTTGCTTTGTAGGTCCGTTGGCAGCTACAGAATTGGAAACTCTTTTTGACATAATTGAAAGTTCAAACTTAATTTTTATAAAATTGTTCTAACAGTTTGCAAAAAATAATAAGCCGGATCCAATTAGAAGATTAAGAAACAGCGCAATCTGCAGCATTAACTGAAATGCCTTAGATAATTTTAGTTTAGCTTATACTGTCCATTATACATTAAACGCGCATGTGTAAACGCATTATGCATTTACGCATGCGCATAAAGTTTGTAGCTGTGAGGTCTAGATTATAGATCATTCTGGATTACAGACTTCGTACTGTACATGAAAACTGATTACTTTTGTTTAAGATATCAGTAAATTCCAGGCTTAAAAATTTTTTAATCTGAATTTTATTTTTACATTCATTAATTATAAACTTTAACAGAAGTTAAATATGACAAATGTTATGTGAAATTTCCAGATAGTTAAATGACAGTTGCCAAAAATTCTAAATAAATGGCTTCTTATGAAGAAAGTATTTTGAGAACCGATTTTGTGCTAATTCTGTATAATTATAGGAAACCTTGAAACAGAGCTTTTGCAAAAGTTGAACTTGCATATGTTTAAAATGAGTAAGGGAATCAAGTCTCAGATTAATTATATACTATATTTATTATATACCAAATTAATTATATACCAAAATTTTTTATGGTCGCTGAGGTTTTTGTGTTAAATATTTGTGTTTAGATTTAATAGTATATAATAATTATATTAGTAGAAAAATACAGTAAACTGCAACAAAGTAAAGGAAAATTTACTTTTCAAGTAAAACTTAATAATAATTCAATAATAATGTATAAAAAAATATATACTCCCTATGTCCCATAATAAAAGTAGCAATTGATGAATTAAATTTGTCCCATTATAATAGTAGCAAAAGAAAATAAATATAGAATGCAGCATTTATGATCAAAACATTAGATTAATAAATTTACATAAATAATAAATTAACATAAATAATAAATTTAAAATATTACTCCTAATTTTTTCTGGATTTTTCAATAATTCTGTTACTGCATTTTAAACTTGCAGGTGGGATTCCTTAGCAGCAAAGCTTTACTTTCTCTATATGCATGAGCTTAAAATTACTGGAGTCATTGTTCTTCATTGCTTCAAGCATAACTTGTTGAAGTAACATATATGTATTACCAGTATTTCGGGAGAATTAGTATCAATGGTTATATTTATGACTTCTCTGGGGTGCTTTTTCTGCTAAAACAAATATGTCTAAGTTTTTTTCATAATCTTTGCATTTACATCCACAGTTTTGTTTTTTTCCCAAAGAAACCATGTTAGTTTAAGATTCACCTTGACAATTATTTTCGGAAGCAAGTCTCCAAATTCTCGATAGGTCATTCTGTTGCACTTAAACTGTTTTGCAGCTAACATAACTGCACCTTTCTGCAACTTTTTTGTTCTCTTTTGATGTATCAAGAACTATACAATCATTTGTATGTTATATTATCATCAATTATGTATATCAAGATCTAGACAATCGTAACTTGATCTTTCCTTGAAAACTCTCTTTTTTCATCTTACTTTTACAATCGGCAGATATTCAACTGAAATAAAACATTGATTTCAATCAATGAATGAAATTAGAAAAATAGTTATAATTCATAATAATTATGTTAACCTAAAAATTGAAAGATGTGTCAAAACAAATGACAGATGTCATGAAACATTGATTTTGATTGACGGCTTCACAATTTGGCACTGCAACATAACTTACAGCTGCATTCACCAATAATTCCCATTTATATATTCACTTGCTACTATAAGACAAAGGGAGTATATTAAAAGTTGCCAGTTTCAAGAAATTACTTCACAACTCTACTGAAATGTATGCACTTTGTCATCAAGTCACAACAGGCTTCAACAAAGAAGATACAGTTCAAGCAGAAGTTACTTAGAAAACTTTCGGCTTTTGCAAATATATGCTGTTAAAGCAACTTATATCTGTGAAATTCAAGTGGAACTGAAGTTCTGAAAGTTCTTGCCTCATTTAAAACAAAAAAACTCTTTTAGTTTATTGGTTGGGAACATGGAAAATGGTTATGTAGCACAACACAAGTTAGCCCACCAAAAGGAGAAAAATGGATATAAGTGATATAATAAAATATTTCGATGGTAGTTTACTTAAATTTAACAAAGAATATGAGAAGGCATATCAGCCTATGACACATGATAAAAGCCCAAGATGGATATTAGGTGATAAATTGATAATGCTATTTTCTGTGTCATATCAGTTGGGTATATCTGGCATTTCATTAGCTCATCAGGAACTTGACTGCAAGTCAGGGCATTGCTCATAGTAGATACTGTACAGGACTTGAATCTCGCACTCTGCTGGATTCCTGGTCATGTTCCTGTCTTCAACAGTTACAGCTACAGCAACGTCAGCATATGTGCATCATAATGCTGTGCTATGATGCAAAGAACCATGGCTACAGCCATATCACGATAGGTTACAAGAATGTTAAAGCTATAAAGACAATATACAGCTCTGGCTTCTAGATGGGGTAACACAGCATTGCACATTTTATCCTTTTCAGCACTGCAGAGATGCAATGGGGAATGCAAATTTCCCAACATAGTTAAAAATGAAAATGTTTAGATCATTAAAATCATGAACTTAACCATATGAAACAAATGGAAAATTTCTCTAGAGAATCGTATGCAGAGTTATACGTTTCCTTATGTACTGCACATACCCATTCCATCTGGGAGGCAAATCTTTACTTGGAAACATTAAATAACAGAAAAGTTATTAATGCAAGTAATGTTGCACTTTGCCATTAACTGTCAAATCTTTATGCATATTTTTAATTTCCAACTACAAATTTGAATTCCTTTTAAGCAAAACTTTGTAGCAACCTCATGCTAAAAACATAATAATTTTAAACAGTTATTTTTGCATTCTAATTCCACATATTAAATTTTATTACAAATAAAATATTAACACGTTCCAATAACAATAGCTTAAAATGAAATTGATTATTATTGAACTAATTTTCTATCGCAATCTGAGTAAAACCTTATTTAAAAGTCTATTTTTATATATAATATTTATTTAAAAATAGTACACATAAAAGCAATACTATATCTAGTATTTTAACTTTTCAACATAAAATATCTTTTTGTTTATAGCACCAGAAGTTCTAAAAAATGAAGAAATATCATCATTAACTGATGTTTGGTGTGTAGGTGTTCTCACATACATTTTGTAAGTATCACCTTCCTGTATCATTTAAAATTCATAATTTACTGAACTGAAATTATCTCTATGTAAGTTTTTTTTAGAGAAATATGAGTTATATTTAACTGCAGGAAAAAAATACCATCTGCAAATTGAAAATAAGGGAAACAGGTTTTATGAAGAAGATACCGTAAAATTGTGATACTTTTTATGTCTTGTAATAGACTGTTTAAATTATTGAGAATATTTAATCATTAAAAAAAAAAGAAAAGAAAACATACTGGTCTTTAGTGTAATAGAAAAAAATTATAAAATGACAGTTAATGTTTGAATTTTTGACAATTGAAAAGCAAACCATCAAGTGTTATATAAATCAAAATATTATATTTCCTACTATCAAATGCTCATTTCCCATACAAAATTCATCTCAAATGAATGCATCATTCAATGTAATAAATTCTTTTTGGACTTAAGCATGTTTTTAAAATCAAAAATGCATAATGAAATAAAAAAAAATTATAAGCACACCGAGGAAAAAATTAATTAATAATATTAGAAATGAAAATAGCATTGCATATTTTAATGTCTCCTATGCAATGCAACTTTTTTAAAACCTATTTTATTTTACTAGGTTAAGTGGAGTTTCACCTTTCCTAGGAAAAGATGAAGAAGAAACAAAAGAAAATGTTACATTTGTACGATACCATTTTGAACACTTGCATTCAAATGTAACATCAGAAGTGACACGTTTTCTATTGAATATTTTTAAGCAGTGTCCAATTAAAAGATTAACAATTGATGAATGCCTAGAGCATAAATGGCTTGCACCAAGTGAATATATGATTATGAAAAGGGAAAGTGCAAGATTCTTGCCTGACAAATTAGCAGCATTTGCAAAGAAATTCCATGCAGAAAAATATGAAGCAATGAATCCTGAATTATTGACATCCCTTGGCATGTCATCATCCAAGTAAGTAATTTTAAGAATTAAAGAAAGAATTTAAGACATTTAGACAATAGTTTATTCAGTGTACTATAGAGAATAGCTGAAAAAATTTATTTTAAGAGAATTTTATTTCCTTGAAGGAGTACAAATGTTCATAACATTATTTAAGTATTGATTTCTATGTATGACACAGGAGAAAAAAGAAAGATGGAAAGATGGAAAGAAGATTTCATTAATGTACACAGTGCAAAAAAAGGGGGTACAGTTCTATATCTCCCGTTCTACTGGGCCGATTGACAAAATTTAATTTGCATTTTTCCTGTCTCGAAAGTGCGACTTAGGATATATATTAGATTTATATATAGCATTGTTCTAATATAGATATTTTGACAGAAAATCAGACTTTTTCTGAAACGACATGGCAGTTATTTTTCTATGTTTCGATTCTATAACTCAAATTATTCCTAAATATTAAATTTTGTAAAATTTGGTACGAAATTTACGGAGAAATTCAAAACTTTATCGTGGCGCAATTTTTTCAGTTGTGCCAAGAATAATTCACTTGCCAAACTTCTTAATTTATAGCAACCTATATTCCTTTCCTTTTTTTCATCGTAAATGAGCAGGGAAAAAAAACCACATCATTCATTACTTTAAAATAATTTTAACACAGTGCGTAAACCATATTCAGATGTTATTATCGCTTTTCAACAAATATGCCAAAATTCAAAACGCACCAATATATAAATTGATGTATATCTTCGGAAATTTTGAATAAATAAGCTGTAATTTTTTTACAGATATGCTTAGAAATACACTACTTTAAGATGATGGCAAATAACTTTATAGGTTATTATTCAAAATTTGTTTCGAAAAATTTATAAAATTATTTAAAAAATAATTTTAAAAATAAATCATAAAAAATGGGCAAATTTTATTTTGAATGAATCTTAATTTTGAAATAAGAAAAGAAGATTCAAATAAGTTTAATAAAAAAAGAGATATTAATAAATATATATCAAAGTCAATTTATTTTTTAAAAAACTACTCATACGATTTTTACAAAAGTTGGCAGTTTGGCATAATTTGAGTTGTAGAATTGAAATGCAGAAAAAAAAATGGCATTTCATTTCAGAAAAAGTTCAGTTTTTCATCAAAATACTTATATACTTCAGTCCCAACATCTGCATCCATTGAGAACATGATGGTGAATGGCAATACTATGGATACTCTGACTGTTCTTTTACAATACAGCTTACATACAGCAAGACTTGAAAGCTTACATACAGCAAGAAAAAAAATTTTGTCAATACAGACGGTATGTACACATTTTAGAACAATTTTGGGGCTATTTAATTCATGTTTAAGATATAAATAGTATATTTTTAAATGTTCGATCTGATAGCCTTTTTTCTAGACTTAAGTCTGCATCGTGATTTCCATGATACAAGGGCATTTGGTAAAAATTCCAAGGGATATTGATTTCTATTCCTCTTCCAATACTTTCCAGAGTCCATCAGTTGTGGTGGTTTTGCACTCTGAAAGAGCTCATTAGACCAAAGGCCTGGTAGTCCATAGATGAAATGTCATGGGACTGTGTTGAAAAGGCATATTTGTTATACCTGTATCAGTCTTCATTTTTTCAAGGAATGCAGTGGTACATTTTGAAATACGACTTGTTGCTATGTCTTAATGAAGTTTCAGTCTTCGAAAGTTCTGAGAATACTGGATATAAAATTTTCTCTTGATACAGTCAAAAGTCGTTAATCCGGACTCGTCGGGACTTCGGGTGATACCGGATTATCGATTTTTCCGGATTATAGATCACCAGTTTAAATCTCGTAAGATGGCATGCAGAAATTCTAAAATTAAAAATATGAAACCGTAATTTATGAAATAAAGAACAATTATGATCTAAAGGGTATCAAAATTTACAAAAAAAAAAAAAAAAAAGCTTAATATTTATTTGTTTACTTTATTATTAAGCATTTCTTTCAATATAAGTTGTTTAAGTTGCTTCGTTTTATGTAATAATACTTTCTCTTTAATTCTATAAACAGACATAATTTCTTGTTCAGTTACAAAGTTCGCTGTTCAAGCCCCGTAATTGCTGTGCCGAGAATACCGACTAACTTGTCAATTGAAATTTTTTCGTTTTCACTAACTTCTCTGTCAGCTTCTTCATGTCTTTATCCATTTTTTGCAGCAATGCCACTTTTTGTTTGATGGACATCGAAACATACTTTCGTTTTGTAGATCCATTGGGAGCTCCAGCATCGGAAATTCTATTTGACATAATCGAAAGTTCAAGTTTACTTTTATAAAATTGCTCTAACAGTCTGCAAAAAATAATAAGCCTGATCCAATTTGAAGATTAAGGAACAACGCAAACATCAACATTAACTGAAATAGATAATTAGATAATTTTAGCTTATACCGTCCGTTACACATAAAACACGCGCGCGAAAATGTATTCTGCGCTTGCACACAAGCATATGCACAGCCGTAAAGGTCTTACGCATTTTAATTACATTTAGTTCTAATCACAAGGTAAATTTAATTAAAATGTATATTCAAATTTAAAAAAAAAATGACTAAATATGTGCTTATTTTTAGCCCAAAGGCTATTAGCCCAGCAGGGCTATTAATTTCATTTTGGCATGTCGCGTTGATTCACTTTTCAAACTGTTGTCACCAAATATTACAGTCCTGTCTTATATTTAAAGAAATTAAATAATGAAGAATCTGCATAAATGTATGTATTTTTATCGCACTGTGATAAAACAACGGTACCTACAGCCATCAAATTTCGAGTAACGTAATCTTCTACCGAATATGGTCATCTGGAAGCCCGAATTTCGACTTTGTTATGTCACATAACAAAATATTTATGCGTCTTTTTAATTTGAAGGCTTCCCAGACATTTTAGCTTAATTTATATCAATTTTCTTCTCTTTAAACATCTTTCATAACAATTAAAAATCTGTTTCAATTACACAAACCAATGTTCCCACCAGTTCCTGTGTGTTTTATCTCCTAATCTGCCAGTTTCTTAACAGTGTACAAAGCGAGATTTTACTTGATCTGGTAAAAGTTAAATAGTCCAAAACCTCTTATAGACATGAAAGCAAATTATCGTTATGCCTGAAAGTAACTACATAGTCACCTAATAAACCTTTTATTTAAAAAGAATTTAGAATATACATGTTTACAAAATCAACTTGTGGTGATGCAATTAAACAGGAACAGTCGAATTCAAACTAAAAATGAAGACTAGTAGTCAAAGACTACACAATTTAATTTTAATCTAAGCTGGCTCAGTAACTCTATCATCATAACAAATTCAAATGTTAGCGGCAATTATGCAAATATGAATAATTACAAATTATCAGAGCTGGCAGAAACTAATGCAACATCCAAGTGGAAGGCAAAAACACTTTGTCTTTCAGTCTCAAAATCTCAGTTTTAAAACTATCTGATTTGCATTATAGTGAGGAAACGAAAAGGGGAACTTAAAGTAAAGGCTAAAATTATAAACAACTGGTTAATTTGCATAATAATAACAGTATATATCATCGAAGAATAATTTTCTTTATCTTTATGCATTTAGTTTCTTTCTTCAACTCATTTCCTCTTAGAAATTTTGGAATTATAGACTTCTGTTATTCTAAAAAAAGAATGCATTTCGAATGTAAAGAAAAAGCTGATAAATGTGAAATGATGTATAGTAAGGGCCCGTTTTAGGGCCAATGAGGCAGAATTTTTAGAATTTAGGACAGGTAGTGGGAGCAGGATTTAGGATCCCCAGAGATTGCATCAAGTGGAAAAATGCCTTGTGTCAGCCCTGTGTATTATTAATTAAGACATATAAGGTGAATCTTTTAAATTGTCAGTTTTCAATTTCTTTATTAATAGAAAAATTCTTTTTTTTAAGTGCCTGTCCATGCGAAAAGATTAGAAACATTTTTGATATTTTCCATACTTGTGTCTAGTGAAAAGTTGAGAAAATAAAGGGAAGATAAACATGTTAAGAAAAAGACTTCTAGTATCAGAAGTACAACATTCGAAAATTATGTTTTCATTGTGCTTCCAAAAATTCCCCCAAATGTAAGAAATTCATCACAAACTTTCTGTAAAATACATCCGTTATGTGTTACTACAATGAAGACATTTTCATTTTGTCAATTTTTCCTGGAGCCTTCTAGAATTCTAAATCTAATCTTGCCTTCAAATCTTTCCAAGTTGCAATGTGTAAAATCCTAAAGAAAAATTAGCCCTACCAATTCTGCAAGAGAAAAAGGGCTAGAAATATTTTGAAAAAAAAAAAAAAAAAAATCACTGGAAAAAGTGTGAAATTAGTTTTATAGAGAAAACTGATACATATTCTGAAAATTCTGAGACAATTACATGGGAAAAATTCTTACCATGAAAAATAAAAGGAAGAAATTTTTATTAATTATATAGCTATTTTGTTTTTTGCTATTAATTTGTTAAAACTGTGCTTTATATTTATTTTTTTCAGATTAAAATATATATTAACAAATCGCAAATAATGCCACTTATAATAAGCAAAGCAAAAAAAAAATAATATAATTTTATTTTAATGTTATTTAAATGTAATGTTAAATATTTACTTATTTAGTTAATTTATCTGCCCCAAAAGCAGAAAGTTGTTTAAATGCTCTTCATTAGAAAAAAATGCAATAATTTTGAAATGCTTTATGTTTGACTTTCTTGCTCAGAAACTCCAGTATCCCCAGCCTTTATATTAGAAATAGAAACAAATTATAACCCATGAACCCATTCAAAAGATAATCATATTTCTCAGTGAATTGTCAAAAATATTCCTCCATAATGATAATTCACACTCAAAACAGCAGTTGTAAAAACAAGACAGAAATTTCAGATGATTAAAATTAAGGACCTTCTGCCGATTTTGGCCGAAATTAAGGACTTTTAAGAACCAAAAATTGAATCGAAAAAACCTAAGGACTTTTAAGGACTGTACGAACCCTGCTAATTCTAGGCTACATGGTTAAGCTGCTTGTTGTTACTACAAATTGCCACATTGTTATGGCTGTATTGCTAGTCTTCAAGAAAGCCCAGTACTGACTTTATTTTAGGTAGCATGCTGTTAAGTTTAATACAGTCAAAAGTCTTTAATCCGGACTCGTCGGGACTTCAACGATTCCGGATTATAGATCATCAGTTTAAATCTGGTAAGATGGCATGCAGAAGTTATAAAATTAAAAATATGAAACCATAATTTATGAAGTAAAGAGCAACTATGATCTAAGGAGTATCAAAATTAAAAAAAAAAAAAAAAAGCCTAATATTTATTTGTTTACTTTATTAAACATTTCTTTCAAACCGCACATGCGTAAAGCATACATTATGCATAGTCGAAATTAGAAAATTGCAACCAGAAAACTATTTGATTTGTATTCATGAAATTTATATAATGATGAGGAATTTGATTTAAATCATATCAAAGACGGAGTATATCGAGATGAAATACCACATTTAGTAAAGGATTATAAGCCAAATAGAATAAAAACATCTGCCTTGAAGATAAGGATAGTGCTGATAGATCAACTTCCAGTTCATTGCGCGCCGCGAAGTTACCCCCCTCCCAATGGCACAGAGCAGCATGAAATTGATAAACAGATTTCGGAATGGTTAGAGAAACAAAGGAGCCTTTATCCATTTTCTGCAGCAATTCCACTTTTTGTTTGATGGACATCAAAACATGCTTTCCCTTTGTTGATCCTTTGGCAGCTCCAGCATCGGAAATTGTATTTGACATAATCGAAAGTTCCAACTTACTTTTATAAAAATGCTCTAACAGTCTGCAAAAAATAATAAGCCGGATCCAGTTTGAAGATTAAGAAAACGCAATCTGCAGGAATAACTGAAATAGATAATTAGATAATTTTAGCTTAGCTTATACAATCTGTTATACATTAAACGCACATGCGTACATGCATATGCATATGCGTAAAGGTATTATGCTCATGCGTCAACGCATTATGCGTTGACGCATGCGCAGAAAGTTTGTAGCTTTGAGGTCCGGATTAATAACTTTTGACTGTACATGTTTGTTTGTTGTTATATCCATAATCCTTTATAGTCACACAATAAAATATTTATTTTAATAAAAATGGCAACAATAAAAATGCAAAATGTTGTCAGTCATAAAATTTAACTAATGACGACAATTTTCATATTTACAATTTTAGTATGGTTTAATCAGTATTGTAAAACTTAAATGTTCTGCTTATTAAATTGCTTTGTAAATGATTAAACTACTTTGTTATTAAATTTATTACAGGAGACGTTGCTTAATGTGATTGCTGTTATAATGTTATTGATTTTGCCAAAATCCCACCCATTTGTGTATGAAAACATAGCATATAATTACTTAATGTGATCAAAAGTTTGATTAATATGATCAGACTACTACAGAATTTTTTTTTTTTAATTAAAGTTTTCCAAATAGAAGATAATTCATCAAATGAGATCAAAATAGATTGTAAAAATTGCTAAATGAAAGGTTAAGTTGCCAAAGAGTTTGGTTTCAATTTCAGTCAATCATTTAAAATTTGGCAAAAAAGCAACATTAGTTTGACAGATTTTGAATCAGTGGAACTTTTTGATTTTGAAGATGTCTTTCTTTTTCAGCAGGGGAAAAAAATTTTCCTGAAAACATGAATGAAAAACTAGGGTTCTTTTGGGCTTGATATTAAGATTAAGGGTACAACACATCAGTTTAGTAACTTCCCGAAACATTATAAACTCTGCATAAATGATATATGAATAGTTAATAAGCAAACTTTTGCATTTTCCTAATTAAAATGCAGCAAAAATACCTATTTATATGTTTTTAGTTAAATTCTACTACTGTTTTGTAGAGTATTTTTTTCTCACTGTTTAATACATTAGGTTAATATTGTCAAAATAGCTGTGGACAGATGTGACAGAACTTACTATAGTAATATTTTTTTAATTAAATGCAAATTCTTGATTCGTCCATAAGTATTGTTTTTGTTAACATTACAAGAATGCTGAAATTCGTTAGTATAGTTTGCAATATATATATATATATATCATTATAAACATTACCTGAATAAATAAAAATGCATATTTATTGTCTTTTTTAATAGGTCAGAAATACAAAATGATGATTTCTAATGATGGTTCTGAGAAGTTCTCTGAATGAAAGAAAAATTTCTGCTGGAAGTTTTAAGTGTATAAATATAGAACTATTTAATAAATTATATTTTATGTACAAATGAACAAAAAGACAGAAGATTTTCAATATCAAATGTAATGGATGTCAAAAATGAACATTTACAAGAATATGTTTGTTCAGTTTTCAGTTGTTAAATAAAATTCATTTTATACAATATGTATACAAATTTAAAATATTGCTGAAATTATGAGCGCTTTACAAAATTCTTATCCATATCTCCATAACTTCTCTGTATTGTAAACATTTTCTGCTTCACTCGGTTTTCAAGGCTGGCTTTGCTAGCTACCTTTGATAACACTGGCCTGAAAAGAAATTATTCTTAATTTAACATTTCTTTTTTAAACAGACACTTAAACATGAGGAAATTTTAAAAAACTTAAAATATGAGATTACAAGAAAAAACAAGTCTTGCAGTCATGGTGGGTTTGCAATTTAGAAGCTTTAAAAGGTAACAAAAACAAAATTTAGAAGTTATATGAGAATAGAATTTACATATGATTTTAAGATATCATCGGAATGGCGGTCTTCATTTATAATATGCATAAATCTATTTCTGAAGTGTGTATCAAGTAATTTGCCATTGTTGCAATTTTTTTAGCATCTTCCGATAGCATGCAATTTACTGTTTTTATTGTTGTACTGCTTGAGCACATACACACTGTGCATTTACTGTTGAAACATTTATCTGAAGTAATGTTTCTGTAATCACCAAGCAGGCAGCTTTTTTACACCAGTTTGTGTTAGGTTAAAATACTATTCATAAAAAAATCTATACAATGGAAAAAAAATTACCTGCTAAACCACAAAATGTCAGGTATATTTATTTATATATAGCTTGATATAAATAAATATTATGTCACTTTAGGTTTTATTATATTTAGTTAAAATATGCTGTTCTGAATTAAGATTGTATATGCATCATGTATTCATATATGAGCTTTAAATATCAAATTTGAAAAGTTTTGAATTATACCATATTTTTTCATGAAAATATGTTCAAAGCTTCAAGTATCTTTTCTGGTTTATCAATTTTAGGCAAAATCTAACATGTTGTAAAAGTCTAATATTGAAATTAAAACTTTTTGGTTTATATTTTAATATAGTTTTTCATTACAAACTTCTGAGCTACAAAGTAAAGTACCACTTCCGGTTGTCCAATTTCACCCAAACTTATATAAATTCTTTATATGAATGCAGAAAGCTTAAATATGGAAAACAGAATTTTTTAGAAGTTTGATGCAAGATTTTTCATGGAGGAATAAATCGCCATTTGCAAACAGATATCATTATAGAAATAGTCAAAGCATGTTATGGATCCTAAATCATGTTATTCATTGAAAATTCACTATCAAATTTTTAACCAAAAACACTACCTACTTTAATTAAGACACAATAACACGCCGAATAAATACTAATTCAGAAGTCAAACAACAAAAATCAGCGTTAATTTACAACACCACCCAATATAGAAAATGCAACACCAAAAGAAGTGCCCAGAAAGTGCTCTGCAAACACAGAGAGAGACAGCAATGAACAATAAGTGATCTTTATTTTGAAATTATATGCATAATACAGAGTGAGAACAGCATCGGCTCAGTAGGTTATAGAACCACATTGGACGGCGATATAAGAAGTCTAGGCACAGAGTCAATGAGACTATTGATGATATCCTAAAGAATGGCTCTGCATTCCATGTCAACCATTTGACACAGTTTGTCTTCTAAATGTGGCAATGACATCCCAAATGTATCTGATTGGTAAAAGACCTGGAGAGAACAGTGGCCAGGGAAGCATCTTCACACCTTGCAGAGCACGTTGGCTGATGCGAGCAGTGTGTGGTTGGGCGTTATCCTCGTAATAAAGGGCACTGGGCATTCCCTGAAGGTAGGGGAGTGTTACCGGCTGCAGCACATCATCACGAACTAGAGGTGACCTGGAACTGTTTGTGCCCCAAACCATGATGTCGCACAGTGGGGCATTCCACACAGTTGCTGCTGGGTTGGACCTGTCTATACATTGACGCCACACTCGTATGCGGTGACTATCATTTGAGAAACAGAAGTGTGACTCATCTGAGAACACAGCCCTGTGCCATTCCGTTGTCCACACTGCTTGAGCACATCATCATTGCAGACATTGGCGTCTATGATGTGAAGTCAATGGCAGTCTTCACAACAGACACCACTAATGTAGGCCACTGGGTACCAATCGACGGCAAATGGTTCTGATCAACATGGAAACATGCAGGGTGTCTTTGAACATGCTGCAGAATGGAGGTTGGATTTACTTGCGGGTATGCCACTGCTTGTTGGCAGATGCGTCAATCCACACGTATTACTTCAGCTGCAACAGCACCCTCAATCTTACCACATTTCCTTGTTCCAACTATCATCGCCACAGCCAGTGCAGTGTGGACGTGTCCAGGTGTGTGTCAGCTGAGATTTGCCGTATGGACTATCCTGCCCTTGGTCTGACTACCATGTCCCTCATAAAATCATCTGACTGCTGGAACTACATTCATTGAGAACAGCCTGACATTTTCTGCTATTACATGCGTCTTCCAAGACAAAAATTAATTTTATATAATGATTTCCCTAGCAGAAATAACAACACGAAAATTGGACATTCTGCAGATTCCTTCCCTCATATCTTCTTAAATGTGTGATGGAGAGCTGCGCATTTCATATCATTTGCATAACTTGGTGACATGCGTGTACCCTGAAATTTGCTTAATTTTCGGGGCACTCCTTCTTGGTGTTGCATTTTCAATGTTGAGTAGTGTAAGTTGACGAGAGGTAAAAATGGAGCAAAATGCATGTTGCAGAGATATCCTTCAAAACATTTTGCTCACATATAAAAATGTTCATTTTCATTTGATTGCCTGAATTTATAAGCATAATTTTCTTTACTGAGTAGAAAACAAGATTATCAGTTTAATGAATTACTACAGTTAATGTCACAGTTTAGTTTATTTTTGTTATTTGAGGTCCTCTCTTCTTTGAAGAAGGCCAGATGGTTTCAATAACTTATTGAGTAGAGACACTCCAGGACTTCTTGGATCTAAGAAATGCAGATATGTGGTTTTTAATAGATGGAAGCCACAGGATCAATGGAAACTTTCTTTTTAACTTTTCCATCACTTAATATACTATGCGACTTTTACAATCACTCAATATTGCCTTTTTGTGGCTTAGGATTCTATTCATGGCACTTTCAATAACAGCATTAAGTGAAATTTAACAATTTATATCATGTTCTGACATTATAAAATGTTGAATCTACTGTTTCAGTATTCTCATCACCCCAGTTTTTAAACCGGATACTTAAATTTAGTGGTAAACTATTAAATTTAAAGGCAAGTTCAGAGGCAGCTTTAACTAAAATAGTTATTCTTCCCATAAATAAAACTGCCAATGTGTTTGTAAGAAGCTAAATAGTATTTTAAAGAAATTTTGTGGCAGATGCATGTGCTCAAAGCTCAAGAAGTACTCCTAATTTACAAGAACATATTTTTCATAATAAAAAATTTTCTTTTTCAACAATGTTACTGCTTAAAACGATGGCATTGTTAAGCAACTGCTTACCTTGGACCAAAAAAAAAGGGGGGGAATATACATTTTACACTTTAATAACTTTCTCAAATTTATTTGGAAATTTTTTTTTAAACTTCCATCATATTTGTATACATATTTTGTTTAAAAGAGCACAGTATTACTTTGAGTAATAGTTTTAATAAATATTTGATGTGTAAGTTATAATTCTAAATGTTATTATATTCATAATTTTTTATTTCATTTAAGCATTTTTCTTAATCTATTCACTAAATTATAACGATACATTAAAATATCCTCCCTGAATATTTCATATTTTATAACATATATACTAATTTTAATAACATACAGACACTAAAAAGCTAGACAGCCAGATTTGCCAATAAATATTTTCCTGAATTAAGTATATCGTCTTTTTAACCTGTTTCAACCGTTGTAATTCCATGAAATTTAGGATTATCCTGGATTTCAGTTTGTCCCAAGCAAATTTAATTGTTTTCTCTTTCTGTGCACACTTTGATGTACACTTGATGTTCTGTTTAATGGTTTACAAACCACAGGGTTGTGGAATCAGCAGAGCTCTGGTTACCTGCTATATTTCAATTATCAATTCCTGTGCAATTAGTACACTCAGAATGCATCTTATTTATGCCAGACTGCACATCTAGTTTTTTGTTAGTTGTATTTTTTTAATTGATTTTTTCTCCACAAGTTTCCACATCCCCATTGTTGAGATTTTTTTAGCATTCATTTATCAATGTCTTTTATTCAGATCATCTAAATCTTACTCATTAACTGAACTCAGAATTAATTTAGTTACATATGCAACTACATACTTAATTATGTTACAGAGATCTTTTAATTGAAAGCTGTCCATTTTCTATAATTTTATAGCTTTTCTTTTATAACTTTTGTTCAGTTCTTAATCATTGAAAAATTTACTTCAAATACAATTGTTATTTTCTCCGAGATTTTTGTGTTTACACTACTTTTTATTGTTAGTGATTTTTTCCCCTTTTTATAAAGAAATAATTTGAATTCAAATATTTCTGTTCAGGTTAAATTTAATAACGTATTTATATAATTTAAGATTAGAGAGTAGATTCTATTTGTTTTATTATTTTTTTTAAATTTCTGTAATTATAGAGTTCATATATTAACTGTGGTGTATAAACTAAAATAATTTTCTAACTATAATACAGAAATCATCTCCTTCATTCTAATTGCACATCAGAGCTCTACAGCAAGGCTTGTTTTTTCAACCTTGATTGCTTTGTTTTGCAATTTTTAACAATATCATCCGATTGAGCAATTTTAGAAAACTTCCTGAACTCGGAGGTGAAGGATGCTTACTGTAAAGATTGTTCCAGCAATCAGTGAGGGAGATACCAATTTAATATTCAGTCCTTATGGTTACTAGACTTGTTAAATTTAGGAGCTGCTCACCAAGAAAGGATCGCTATTTACGCATATGTTGTGAACAGGTCTCATTCAAGACATCATGAAATTCCAGCAATAACGACAATAATCACTCACTAGTTAATACAAAACTTCAGAAATCAATTAAATACATATATTGTGAAGGTAAGAAATTATCTGAATGATACCTTCAATACCACTCTTTTTAAAGCTTCCTTATGCAGTTTTCTCTCTTTATAAGCATTTCAATTTCCCCAGTATACATACGTATATACTGACGAAATAAAACATTATGACTATCCCTACATTTTTCATTGAACTCGTCTGGATGATGTGGAGGGCATGTGATTAAGTGGGAATGGTATTTAACTGCTGCCTGGAGAAGATAAGGAATTATTCTTGTACTTATTTTTGTGAGTGATGGGAAAGGATGCTGATCTAAGCAAATTTGATACAGAGCAGATTGTAATAGCCTGAAGGAATGAGTATCTCTAAAACTGCATGGTGGTAGGTTGTTCACGATCTGCTGTTGTTAGTACTGTGATAATGGCGATGAATGACACCAAATGGATAAATGACGTTGAAATCAGCAATAGACATCAAGGTGTTGGATAT